ATACAAAAACAAATAACAGATAAAAAAGATAAAATAAAAACCTTTCGTATAAATAAATTATTTAGTAGAAAACAATACTTAAATAGTAAAATGTTTATGTATATATTTTAGTTTTTAAAATGAATCATGTATTGTTTAAGAACTTTCAAATGTAAATTAAAACATATTTAATTATTTTKTATCTAGTATTTATAAATGGTATCTATTACTAAAATAATTAAATACATAGATAGGTATATAATAAATAAATATAACAATGAAATCATATCAAGATGTCTTACCATAACTTGATATCTAACATCTTTTGTCTTGAATTGTTCATTACCAATGATAATAGGTACATCTTCTACATTATTTGACAATTTTTTTAATTCAGCTTCAATTTCTTTGCGTTCTTTGCTGCCAGGCAAGTATTCTGAACAAATATATAAAGAAAGTGAAATAAAGTAGTTATTAATTAACTAAAAATAAATATTTTTACACATAAAACTTTGAATTACTAAAATAACTTTTCATATCAAAGGTAAAAATTAAGATATAATATTGCCTAAAATAATAAAAATATATTTTTAGATATTACCTTACCTTATCTTATTCAATTAATTTATATTTGTTTATATTATTGTTATATAATTGAATAAGTAATCACTAGATTTATTGTATTTACCTAACTAATTATTATAAGAACTTCAATAAGCTGTTCAATTATTAGTTTATATTTTTTAGATTAAGTTCTTCAAATCAATATACTTTGACCTTAAATAAAAAATCCATTTAACAATTATTATAATTGACTGATAAGTATTTTTCCTGATAAATCCAAAATTTGATGCAGTATATTACAGTTTAATCTACATATTATTTTTTACTTTACACAACATATAAATATTTGTATTAATTGCATAGATAACATTTATCAAGAAGAAAGTATTACCTATAGTATAACTTACATTTGCTTACCTAAAAGTGGTTCGTTTTCTACAGTAAAGTCTTTAACTTTAGGCAGTGAAAGGGATCCAATGCTTCGGCAACAAAAGCTAAAAATTAAACAAAGAATTAAACTACATCCAAAATAAAAATATTACTTATACCTATTGGTACTATAATGTAGGTAGAAAGTAGATAACATTGTCTCAATTGTTCAAGTATATTTTACAACTCTGTATACAAGATCCATTAGTTAAAATTACATAAATATTTAATTTAGTTAAGAATTTTAAATATTCATTTATCAATCTATTTTGGTTAACATTAATAATGTCTTCAGTTAAAAATATTGGTCAAGGTTAATTATGTGTCAACTAATGTTTATTCATACATATTTTAGAAATATACTCAAAATGATTGAAACAGCTACCAAAATAATTTTGAATACATAATATTGTTTTATTTTTACTATTTAAAAAAAACGATTAAACTGTATTAATACATATATTTAACTAAAATGAAACAGTTGAGGTTAAGGAATGGTAAATGGAATATGGGATCCATTAGAGGTCTTGATTTTTATTTACAGTTTTAGAATTGGAAAGTTTGCCAATATTCAAACATATACTAATTATACCTCAAATCTAGACAAATCTTGGGCAAAATAATAAAAACAAAATTTTTTTGTTATACATTTACATATATT